ATATGAATATTTAGTTCTTATTTTATTGATTAATTAATATTATAAATTTAATTGGATAATATTCTATTGATTAATTTTATATTCATGTTTTATTGAATAGTTATTTTTAGATAGTAATCACTTCAAATGATCACTTTGAATAATCATTTCAAATGATCATTCCAACTAATCATCTCAAGTGCTCTGAAAGATCATTACAAATGATCATTCCAAATAATCATTTTATAATTATTAAATACTTATAAATGTCATAAGTCAGAACGGGATGCGGATTGATTTAGAATCAACCTAGGTTGATTCAGAATTTCATTTCAACCTGTGTTGTTTCGAAATCCTCAATCTGATATAGATCAATCACCATTCTGAATCAACTCAGCCAATCATTGCAGATCACGTTATGTGCTCTCAACACCCAATAAAAATTTGCCATATCATCCAATAAAAAATTGGAATTAGAAATTTTACGAAGTTCCTTTTTACGTTCTTACAAGTATTTAAAGGTGAACAAATTGTTTGACAGAATTCTATCTTAAGTGAGAAAAGTAAGAACATTTTAGGATGCCTTTCTTGTGAAAAAAAAAGTACTTTTTTATAGTGCCAGACAGTTTGTAGTATTGAACACTTTAATAATGGTAGGAATTTAACGAATTTAAAAAGATTTTTTATTATGACCATACTTTCAAATTTTACTAACATTTATTCTCTTTAATTTTTACAAATACTGCTACCACCACCATGACACCGTGCTCCACACAAGACTCCAGCTTTCTTACAATTACAATGATTAGTTTTGCAACTTCCCCTATAATTACATTGATAATTTGTCATTTCTCCCCAGCTTTGACACAATGATGCTTCGTGCAAAAAAATCAAGGTATTTGGTATTTCTCGTAATTCTGGAAAATCTGTGACTTTTGTAGAAATCAATTCCACTGCATTACAACAAATATTCAGTATTCCTGACTTACACTCTAATTTGTAAAGCTCACCATCGATAATTCCAACCACTTTGCATATGAGAAGCTTTCTATCAGTACTTGAATGATTAATCTTAGGAATTCCAATTCGCACAAACTCTCCAATTTCATAAGATATTTTTCGCTTGGCATTTTTTACACAATATTTTTTCTTGCATTGCTTTGGCATTTTTAGTATATCGATCACAGATAACTTTGTATACTTGATGATGACCAGTAGGTAAGTTAATAATTTCACGTAATGCATTGCATTTATCACTATTATACTTTAATAAAAAATTAATATAGAGATTATGTAACAAAGAAAAAAAATAATAAATATTACTTTGTCACTTGAAACTGTAACTGAAGTATGATAAGAGTTATTGACGTAAGTACTAGTACTTCCTGAGTTGCTAATTTTCTCTGCTTGTCGTTCAATATTTTCTTTTTTGATGATATTTTCTATTTGCTGTTGCAATTGTAGGTTGGTAATTTTTTTTGTTTTTCTCTTGGGGATTTTTGTCATATCTGTCACATTCCTCTCAATAGCGAGTTTTGCTGGTTGCTGCCATTGGTCATTGAAAATTTCTATCATGTTCGTCACGTTCCTCCTGATGGTGGATTCTGCTGGTTGCTGCTGTTGATCATTGAAAATTTCTGTCATATTCGTCACGTTCCTCCCAATGCTGGGTTCTGCTGATTGTTGCTGTTGATCATTGAAAATTTCTGTCATGTTCATCACATTTATTTCTGTCATATTCCTCATGATACTTTCTATCTCTTGTTCATCTTGAATTCATAATTCAATTTCTTCATCACCTGATTCGATATTCAAATCTTCAGGAAGGTCTTCTTCATTCATAATTGATTGTTCAAAAAGAGACTCAAGAAGAAAATAATTAGCATGAGATTTTCTGCCAAACACTATTTGATATGGTGCAAAGCCTGTAACTGAAGAAACTTCTGTATTCATTGTATCTAATAGAAAGGTAAAATAGATTAGTAATTATCAAAAAATTAAATAATTTAGTAAAAAGTTAATATACTTACATGTTATCCAATAAAGTCCATTCACCCAGCTATTAGTTTCTCTATATTCCAGTCATTTTGAAAGCTTTTGTTGAAGTACGTCATTAGCCCATTCAATTAGTCCTTGAGATTGAGGATGTCTTGGACATCCATTTATAATTCGAATAGTTGGCCAAAATTCAGTTAATTTTCTAATGATTTGTACCGTAAATTCTTTTCCATTATCAGTTTGTAGAATGGTTAGAGGTCCAAATGCAATGAAAAGTTCAAAAAGAAAACCTGCTACTTCTTTGGCTTCTTTAAAAGAAAGAGCAAACAACCAAGAAAACTTTGAAAAATGATCACAAGCATGACAAATATATTTGTAAGGACCATCTGGTCGATAATGCATATCAACTAAGTCCACTTGGAGACGACACATGAAGCCTCTTGCTAAAATAGATTTTGCAGCTACCAGTTGAGCTAATGATCATTGTGTAATGCACCTAGTACAGCGAGCACAAAATTTTTTTACCAAATCCTTAGGCACCCACGAATATTTATCTTTAATCTAAAAATAAAATAAAAATTAAAATAATTAGATTTTTTAAATTAATATAATATAATAT